TTAAACTCAAATTTAATCCTGTCTGGGAAAATCCCTGCATAACAATGTGACCTTTGACCCCGGCCGGAGCCCTCCAGGTCACACAAAAACAGAAATGAGTTTCAAAACTTTGGAGCAGAGTTTGGATGACAGGGCTCTGGCCCAGGCGCCCAAGAGCTCGAGGGGTCCCCAAATTGTATTTCCAGTTTGAAACTCCCAGAGACACACAGACTAATATGGTGCAGTGAAAAGGACAGAATCTGGAGTAGTAGAAGTATAAACAGAAATACTCAAAGTCAACAGTTTACAGTCCACCAGATGAACAGATTTACCTGGGATCACTGTTACAAAGAGTTCTAATTCATTATAACTGAAACCCATGGAGAGCAGACCTCACTTTGGACCTGGGCCGTGTCTGTTGCAACGTGGCTCCACATGAACAAGTCACAACCCAGACCATGGGACTACGAACAGCAGCTGCTGAACACGAAACACGGCTGCAGGTGGAGATGCAGACAAGCGGTGGGGTCACACACAGGTCCTGTTTATAGCCCGGTGCTCGACACAGGTGCTACGTGTTTCTGACTGGACACGGGGAGTCAAACCGGCTGATCAGACGCTGCAGGAGCCTCCGGGCATTTAGAAATTTATACTTCTACTACATCTCAGAGGCAAATATAGTAGTTTTTAATGCACTACTTTTACTGGCTCCTAATGAATTTGTTCTCTGTGTCGGGAAAAGTATGCTGCTTCACATGTGGTGATTTTGAATTTCTCTGTTAAATGGAAGTTACGTGTTCCTTTAGCCAAAACCAAGTGTTGTCACTAAACTGAGGACAGGGCTCGTACACAAGGTCTTACAGATTATGATTTGGGAAACTACCCACACTTTATAAAGAAGTTAGAATTAGTGCAGCCGTACACAACCACAGCAGTAATAACCCCACAAGCATCATATCTAGCATAACTTTTACTTTTGATACTTTAAGTACATTTTGTCCATGTCCTCAGCTGTCCCTTCCTGTCGTCCAACCTGACCCCGGCCATCCCAGCAGTTGGTGCCGTCCTCCTTGTCTTTGTCATGGGGATGCTGTTCAGGGCGAGTTTCAGCGACCCTGGCATCCTGCCCCGGGCCATGCTGGACGAGGCCGCCAACATGGAGAGGCAGATTGGTAACCATGGATACACACAAATAAACACACAAACTCAGGACTCTGCTGTTAAAAAACAAAGGTTTAAGGTTTATGAAAAAGCAGGTGGAAACCAAGTGAATGAAGCTTCAGTTTGCTCAGGTTTTGTTCTTCTCAGAGGTAAAAACATGAATCAGCTGCAGAAAAACGTGTTCGCTAGTGAAACTGAGTCACTATAGGAAGCTGCACCTCCTCCTCCACTCAGTGTGTGTGTGTGTGTGTGTATGTCTTCCTGTGTTGCTGAGGACATGGTTTAGTTTGATACCATCACTGTGGGGACATTTCTAAGGGAGGCAGTGAACGTCCTCACACAGATAGCTGTACCAAGGTGTGTATGTTCAGTCACACGTCGTTCAGTTTCCCCGTCACGAGTGTTTCTTGGCGAATCCGTCTTCCCACGGAAACGGGACGTCGTGCTTGACGCTCTCTGATCTATTTATGGAAACCTCTCATCAGTTTTTGTTTGTCCATTCATTTTCATGGCAGCTACAGAGCGACAGAGCCGTCAGTCACCACAGCTACAGAACGACCAACGTGGGCATCAGCCTTGGTCTGGGCTCGTTGGATGTGGAGGAGGAGCAGCAAGAGCAGGAACTTACTTTTTACTGTGTTCAAGAGTCGATTCTGTGACGCACAGCTTGAAGCAGCATCCTCACTTCCTGTCAGACAGACAGACTTATGGACCAGGGGGCATGGGGGGATTCCTGTACATGGGACCCGGGCACAGGCCCCGGGGCCGAGGGCTCGAGCAGGGCCCCGGTCCAGAGCCTCTGTTTTAAATGAGCGTCAATATTTCAAGTCAGTCAAACGACTAAAAATACATGAAATGACAACAAAGAAATGCAAAACAGCCACAAAGTGATTAAAACAAGACTAATAGGAGATGCAGGATGAACATACACACACATCACAGTAACTACAATGAAACACAAACCTCAAAGAAACAAATAACAACCACAATCAGCCACACAGACGCAGTGCATGTGCAGCACGTAGCACAGAGTGGATTCTCTTAAGGCTTAACAGACGGTTTAGTTACTGTTTGTGTTTGTGCTAAGGAGCAAGCAGTGAGCATGAACCAGCTGAACTGTGTGTGTTGTGTTGCTGCTGTTTGTTGTCCAGACTCCAAACCTCCTCCTCGCACCAGAGAGGTCCTCATCAATGGACAGGCCGTCAAACTGAAGTACTGCTTCACCTGCAAGATCTTCAGGCCGCCCCGAGCGTCACACTGCAGCCTGTGTGACAACTGTGTCGGTCAGTCCTGTGTGCCCGTCAGGGTTCGCAGTATTCCCCGCCGCTGGACTCCCCGAGTACTAATACCATGTTCATGTAGGGTGGAGCTTAATACTAGGGAAGATCCCCATGTTAATGCTGTTAATATCAGTGGTGGAAGAAGTACTACAAGTACTGATACAACTGTGATAAAGTACTGCAATCCAACTAAAAGTCCTGCATTCAGAGGTGTACTTAAAGATCAGATACTCAAAGTATCACAAGTAGAAGTATGTGACCCCTGTGACTGAGCCTATGTTACATAATTAGATCCTCAACGTTGATGCGTCTCTATATGTTAGTCCCTGTGTACATACACGAGGGGTTCAGAAAATTAGGAACACCTCTGATATAATGAATCCAGTCCAACCCCACCTTTAACTCTGAGCTCACTAATACATGTAGAACTAATAAATATACATCACTGACAGTTTGACCAAAACCTGAAACACAAAGACGGGTGTTGTGGCGGCGCTGATGTACTGGGTACGGATGCAGCTCGTTATAGTAAGGACAGTGTTTTTTCTGACTTTTATTTGTACAATATTAAACATAAATGAGTTGGCTTAAAGCTCATTTTTGTCTGCAGTCCCTTGGCAGGTCATAATCAGACACACAATCACAGCAGCAAAACAAAACCAAACAAAACGAACTAAACAACATTAATATGGAACTCACGACACCTATAATGTGTCCCACGTCAATGTTTTCTGAGTTTGCTGCTGCACTGCGACATAAACACCAGCTCATCCCTTTGACTTGAGATGAATGTTGTTGCTGTGGGAGATTTGAGTAACGAGACAAACTCCTGCCGTCTTTTGCTGACTCAGAGCGATTCGACCATCACTGCCCCTGGGTTGGAAACTGCGTCGGACGGAGGAACTACCGCTTCTTCTACCTGTTCATCCTCTCGCTGTCCTTCCTCACCATCTTCATCTTCGCCTTCGTCATCACACACATCATCCTCAGTGAGTAACACCTGCCTCCTCCTCCTCCTCCACACTGTGATTCAGTACAAACTCTCTACGTCACAGTTTGGTTTGACCTCGTGCATTTCAGGTCTGCAGCTGTGACTGTGATCGATCATTAAATTTATTGAACATAAGAAACAGTGACAAATGATGACATGTTCATTTTTAGTTCCAAGAGTCTGAATCATCATCCTCAGGCTGATGATGGCACAGTCTGATCCCCAAGTGATCTATAAAGGCAGTTCACTAACAGTACAGAACCTTAGCTCTTGATTCTGAACTTGTCTTTTTGAAAACAGAAATGGCACCGACAGGATTACCGACACCCTCAAGTAGCTCAGCCTTTAAAGAATATATCTGTTGTCAAATTCTTCCTGTCGACCTTTTTTGTGTCAACATAGTATTTTACAATTTACCTGAAAGCCCTGATTCGGTCTCATCTGTCCACTGAACGGTTTGGCTTGTTCAGGTGTGTTTTGTCAAACTACAGATGTTTCAGTTTCACAGTATGGTCAAAGAAAGTAACACAACGGTGCCAGTATTTTTGACCATGACAGCATAGAGTAGTTTCTCATTACCTATAAAAGTCCCAGTGAATAAACTGATCCTCCTCTGTCTCTGTTTGTGTTGCAGGGACGAACCGGACTGGTTTCCTGAGCGCGCTCAGAGACAGTCCGGCCAGATATCCTGTCACTGTCAGAGACACCTCATAGGACTTTGAGTTTCATTGAGTAACTCATAGACATAAATATTCCACACTCCTCCGTGATTACATTTAGCAGCTGGTTTGATCTCGACACACTGTTTGTCTTTGCTGCATCTTAGCGTCACCTCAGGTTCAACACACATCTGTTGTCATGGTAGCTTTGATACGTTTTCACTGAAAGATTCATTGTTTAATCAAAACAGTAACTGGCAGATTGATAGTTTTAAAATAATCATTAGTCTCATGACTAGTTAATGATGTCAGTGGTTACTGTTACATGCAGCAGCAAGTACTGGCTTTCACTGGTATGGCACTGGTATGAAACGGGTATTAAACTGGATGATATTTGGCATTAAAAGTGTTTTTAAAACCTAAAATTTGACCATGTGAACCTGCAGAAACGCCTCTAGATGCTCATGTGTCCAGTTCACTGCACAGAAAAGTGAAATGGGCACTATTTACCCCTCATACACTGTCTGCAGGTTGTATGTGTGTTTCTGGTAAACCAATCACAGGTAAATACGTCCCATAATGCATTGCTAGGGTCAAACTCTGCCCTTGTCAGAGCCACATTGACATTCGGCTTCTTCACTCTGCTGTTTTGACTGTTCACTCCTGAAACACACACCATCAAAAATGTGATGGAAATAAATCAGAGCTTTTGTTCGACCACTGGTCCAAAACCTAGAATATTCCATTTCATGTCAGATAAGACACAGACAGTGGAACCAGACTTTCAAAATGATTGATTGTTAGGATTCATTTTATTTCAGTTGACTGATCGACTAAATCTCACTTCAGGCTCAGAGCAGGTTTTATTCACAACCTGCAAACTTTAGAAGCTGCATTTCGTCAAACAGCAGGAGGATAAATGTGACGTGAACTTTGTCCTTGACTCTGTTCTGCACCGTCCTGGAGGTGGTGGTGTGCTTCTTCTCCGTCTGGTCCATCGTTGGCCTGTCGGGGTTCCACACCTACCTGATCAGCTCCAACCAGACCACCAATGAGGACGTGAGTATACGAGGCCCACACTGTGGTCCGTGGACCAGCAGGAAGTCCCAGAGGGGGCCCCAGAAGGACGAGGACTAGTCTGATGTCACTGTTACTTCATTTACTAGAAGAAAAAGGTGGCACCATGATATTTATTGGTGCTAATTAACTGGGTCAGTTGTCTTCTCTGTTTCTGTCCTGATCGGGTCCTGGTCTGTTCTGGTTCAGATTAAGGGATCCTGGTCCACCAAGCGAGGGAAGGACATCTACAACCCCTACAGCTATGGAAACATCCTGACCAACTGCTGTGCCGCTCTGTGTGGACCACTGCCTCCCAGGTCAGTAACATGTTCTGCAGCACTGCACCGGGACCAAACTCAGCACACAGGACTAAACCTGGGACGAACTGTTGCTGGAGTTCAAAAACAAACATGTCTTGTATTTCACAACTCCATGTTTATTGTTCTTGCTGCCGTTGTGTCTGCCTCATGGTTCCTTCATCTGGTCTCTGCAGATCTACATTTCTAAAATATCACATCAGTCTGAAAAGAGCTGGGACTGGTCGACTGAATCCACATTTCAGTTCACCACTCCAGCTTTCCCTTCCATCTTGCATCATCTCTCTCACTCTTGATGCTGTGTTTCCATTCAGTTGAAACCTTCCCTGGGGAGGTTACACTCTTCCTTCCACCGCTCGCCCTCGCTGTTGGCAGACCCTGCTGCAAAATTAATCAAAAAGCAGAGTCTTGGTCTGGAGATTCATATCAGCCACGTTTCACTGTTGTCATCCACACATCTCTGTGGTGTGTCTGGGGACAGGTGGTCCATGTGTAGACCTCCACTGTAGTCCACCAGCTATTAACCCCCCCAGTGAGCCACACTGCTGCACTGGGGGGCAGGTTTCCTCCTGAGGAAACATGGGAGGCCATCTGTTTCCAACAGCCAGCTCCACGGGCTGAGAACAGCGTCGCTGTGGACAGTCTCTGGTCTCTGCTCTGGTCACACTGCTCCACCGGCTCCTCACGCTGCAACAGAACAACATGTTGGAGCTGTTTGTTTTCCTGAGGAGGAAACCTGCCAGAGCAGCCGTGTGGCTCACCAGTGCCTGGTCAACAAAGGGTTCACTGTTTAACTACCACTAGCAACAAACTTTAGCATCACTTCTGTTCCTTTTGGACTTACTGAAGCTTTCAAATCGTGAATCCCTGAATTCAAGATTTGGAAGCTTCTGTTATGTCAGACTGATTTTGGACATTGCTGTGTACATTCAGCCTGCCGCTTCGTTGATTTGGCCTGAATAGGTTTTGATTAGTTTAAGCTGTGTTTATAAAATCCTCTTCAGTGCCATCGTTACTGCAAACCACTTGTTGTACTGGGCCTTTCAGGAAAACAGCGTTAGCCTGACGTCGCCCACATAGCTGGAAATCTGGCGGTGTTTGGAATTTGTAGAGAAATCTCACTTAGTAGTGCCTTTGTTTTATATCTGTAGGGCTCTAACACATCTAGGCCGAGAGCACAGTTTCAAGAACTGATTAACTGTAGCTGCTCCCAAAAACCCAGCACCGCCCTCCTGGAAAGTCTTGCTGCCAGATCTGTATGTCAGTCACATGCTGTGTACATCGCTTCTGTTTTTGTTTTGTTGTATTCATTTCATCTATACATATGTTCTTATCAGAGCATCATGTCAGTAAAGGTTGAATTTGAACGACCGAGATGCGGTTCCGGGTTCGGGCCCCACCTAGGACCTTTCTGTGTGGAGTTTGCATGTTCTCCCCCTTGCTTGCGTGGGTTCTCTCCGGGTACTCCGGCTTCCTCCCAGTGTCTCCCAGTTTGATTGACAGGAGAGGCCTGGTCCAGTCTGACACGCCACAGACCGTCTCCCAGTCTAATGAGACCGGTGCCAGCAGCTACACCACCACTCAGCTCCACAGTCACATGGTAGGTGGTGGTCGACCAATCAGTACTGACAATGTGTGATGGGTTAGCAAAGTCACCAGAGCGTGGAGGAGACACACACTAAGTCCAGGTCTCTGTAACAAAAAGGGTTTATGTCCTCTGTGAAGGTTAAAATGCAGAAACACTGCACGTCTGTGTGCTTTACAGGACATGGAGCATCTTATTGCATTAGCAGGACAGACTTAGCGTGCACACTCTTACCCTTTGGCCCCCCCCTCTCTCAGTGCGACCAGGACCAGTGCATCCAGAGCACCAAGTTCGTCCTCCAGGCAGCAGCCACGCCTCTGCTCCACAGCGACCCCATGGTTCTGGCCCATCTGCCAGGGAAGACCGCCACCCTGGGGGGAGCGTGCGCCTACCTGGCCCCCACCCAGCCATCCCTGCCATCCTGTGGTGGAGACGTCCTGGTCCTGCGGGACGCCACCGCCGACTCCCACTGCCACCACCACCTCAACCACCTACACCACCTCCACCATCATCATCTCCACCATCACTTCGTCAGCCCGGAGGAGACGTCCTGTGCCACACCGCAGGGCGCCACACTGCAGGGCCCCCTGCCCTGCCCCGCCCACCTTCACCTCCACCCCCAGCCACAGCCACCTATCCCCTCCCCTGCCGCCCTGTATGACCCCACCCATCAGGATGCTCTGCACGAGGACTCAGTCAGAGGCCTGGTTAAACTCAGCTCTGTCTGACCTCGGTTTGATCCGTTCACACCACATTTCCACCTTCCTGATTAGATGCACGTTTACAACATGTTGATGGAAACTTCACTGGTGCCATGAGCTGATCCTTCCAGGGCAAATCACGTGACTCGTGTCTTTGTTAGTCCGACTGGGCAAAAATATGTGGTGTAAAAATGACTATTAGTCAGAAAACCTCTAACCAGAGCTACATTAGACCAAGAGGTCTCTGCCCATTTCTCTCTTTATGCCATACATGAAGTTTTGTGGGTTTGAAACCCTCTGGAGTTCATTTCAGTTAAAGTCACTTCACTCAGGTCTAAGTCTGATTTCTCTTTGTGTCAAGTAGGGACCAAAAATACATAAAAGATTTGCACATCTGTAAAATGAACACATCCTTAGTGATAATCACTCAAATATTAAAGAGGAGTTCAAGGCTGTAAAAAATGCTGCTTCACTTTTTTATCCCCACAACTGCAGCAGATGAACGATAGAAATGAAACTGTAGTACAATCTGTTTACATGTACAGTGATTTTAACCCAACTCAGTTTTGTGCCTTTTCCATTCAAATTCCATTTGTAAAGAGCTGAAAATAATTCACAGGTTTGAACATTTCTTTTACAAGACATGTTGTGGTCTGTAGATGTAAATGAGAAAGCTCTGCTTTCAGCTATTTCTGTCGACACCATTTGTAAATAGTTATGATAATACTCATGGACACCAGAGTGTTCTGAACCACGGTATGTAGACGCCAGCGTCCAGGTTTGCATGAGGATAATGTTGAATAAGAGCATGAGTGTTCGCCAAAGAGGCCCAGAACAGAAGCTACATGTTGAGTGAGGAGGATTTCACAGTGTGTGGCGTTTTCAGAAGGCACAGATGTTGACAGACTTTGATAATTCACACTTTTAAATGTTCAGGACCAAAGTCACATTACGTCCACGTCCACCCGCTCTTCTTGTTTTTTTGTTTTTTTTTACCTCTCCATAATTCACACTTTCCTTCTAATAACAACGGACATTTAATCCAGCTACTCCAGTGCCAGGCAGGCATCCACCTTCAGCTGCAGTCGAACCATCACCAAAGACAAATCAACTGACCTGTTTCTTTACAAATCAAGCGGACGATTCAGGTGACCTGTTGTGACATTGTTTTTCCAATGTTTATGTTACCAAGCTAGGAGAAAATGTGATATGTCAGTAAATTCACACATTTGATAAATGACTGGAGACCTCATCGTCCCTACTGGTGTTTCATGTATTACATTTAATTCCCTGTCATATTTTAAAAAAAGGCCTTTAAGTCTTAAATTTAATTAGGTGAACCTGCACCTGTCAGTGGTGTGAGCTTTAATTAAAGACACTAAATGCCTTATTTCTTGTTTTAGTTGAAGATCTGCTGCTAAATTAGACACAGATCCACGCAGCTGTGGATATCACTGGAGTGATATTTTCTTTCGAAGGTGACATACACTCGCCTGAGCACTGCCTTCTGGGAATTGTAGTCCTAAAGCTAACGTGCAGGTGATGAGACGCTGGGCTGCTGCAGGACGGTGTGAATGATTTGTTCATCATGTTACCTTCACTCCAGTGTTGATTTATCTAATAAAGACACTTTGTCCTATCAGCTGTGGAGACACGGACCTGCTGTTTGGACAATCGTGTCTCACTTTATTCAGTTTAATAACAATGAAGGAAAAAGCTACAATAAAAAAAAAACTGCACAGATTGTGGTTTTATACCAAGGCTTTCTCATCCACGTCCATGTGTTGCATTAAGAGCTGTGCATTTCAATGAAACTTTTTAAACAGAAGATTGTTTTTGTTTGTGGATTAAACAGGTTCAAGGTTTCTTTGTGACGTGCATGTTATACAAGACACTGACGGTAAAATGTTTCCCCATAGTAAAAAGAACAGATTAACTATTATAGATTAGCTATTAAATCAATACAGGATTATGATGAAATCATAGGCGGATTATGAGAATCCACAGATAAACTCCTCCTGCTCACCAGGTGGCGATACGAGCTGTGACTTAGCGCACAGCTGCTTCTCTAGAAGCCAATCAGAACGGTCGCCTCGGGAACAACCAGGAAACAACATTTGGGAAACAGAAGAAAGCCATTTAATAAGGTCTGATATTAGAAAGAAGATGAAGCTACAACCTTTGCTCTACAGGCTAAAACCCGAGCAGACAGATGATAAACAGAAATCCAGAATCATTCAGTCTGTAAATCAACGTCTGTTATGTCGAAACGACATCTAACAATCCGTGAATTTACCGGGATGCCTTTCTTTGTTGTCTGACAATTTCGGCGGTGTTTCGACAAACCTCGTTGATGTTAGTCCTTGTTCCAATTCATCAAAATCCACAAAGCATCCTTAAATGTAGAATTATGATATATGGTTGGTAAAATTATTTTTACGCTAAATTGTGTTGACAACGCCCTTGGATGACCGTAGCATAAAAAAAGCGCGGTAGCGGGACATAAACCAGATATTAACACTGCAAACACAGTGACACACGTATGCTGACGGTTTAAGTGCTTTAATAAAGGCAGATGGACATTAAATACCGAAATAAGAGCAAAGGAGGAAGATAAAACGATATTTATGGTTAGCATCGCTTCATATTTTCCTGCCCGGTTTGATGAAATATAAAGAGTGTAATTGTTAAATATGTTACCGTTGTGTATACATGTAAATGTAGGTCATCTGGGGCAATTTAATTTTAATTTAAACAAATTCTCTTTATTTACAAGTTAATATTTTATTACACAAATCAGATTAACGTTTGGCGAGTTCACCATCAGTCTAAACTTTATGGCCTTGTTTTTAAATCTAAGTGTGATGAGTTTTTATATGTCAAATATGTGACCATTTTGTCAAACTTAGATATATAAGCGCTTAATTTCCAACCTCTAAACCTTTGAATTTCCCGCAATGCTACAGGTGTCACGTGACCACATGTCTCCGTCCTGATTAGCTGCATTCTCTTCCGCTTCTGGGAGCTACGTTTCTATTGGCTGGCTGCGTTGTAGCGCCAACAGTTCAATAAAAGGCGAGTGGACAATAGCGACTGTCCTCACTCTCCGCTTTTGTATGTCTGTTGCATGTAGTCTAGCAGTTCTAGTTAATTTCTCTCTTTCCTTTTTAGCTTGGTCATTTTAACTTAATTTATTTTATTTATCCGTCTGAACCCTTAGGAGATTGAAATGCATTCTGCTCGTTCTCCTCGATCTCCTCTGTTCCTGAAGATTGAACAGGCTAGGAGCAGCCGGATCAGCAACATGGCACTGGACAGAGAAAACACGGTGAGAACCTCTTGAAGCAACTTAACCCATTAAGTCACCCCCTGGCCTAAATGTTTCATGTTCACCTTGTCTGCTTTGATGTTGTTCTTGTTCTTATGTTCTTTATTTTATGTTATAGTCCTCTTGTTTCTGATCTATTTACTTAT